CATCATGCAGTTCGGGTCTAATCTTTTGGACTAAATTATTAAACGCAGTAATACAGCCCGAATGTGATTGCTAAATGATTGTAAGTCCAGTATTGAATAAATGTGATCATGGAGATGGCACCCATGTCCCCATTATTTGCCAGCAAAACGATCCTAAGATATTCCAAAGTAAACTTTTCCATAGTAGATCCGCTGTCGCTAAGTGAGTGCACCGGGAAGAGTCTAATGACTCCTAGTGTAGGTAAGGTAGTTATATATGAATAAGTCATAGCGACAGGGAAGAAAAGTTAAACTATAGTGTATGGAGTTGGTGCAAATGTCATGTGTTTGCCAGCAAAAATGCTCTCGAAATAATAGAATAAGCAAAGCAAGGCCAAGTTGGTGGAACAATAATTAACCTTGCCCAAAAGATTCCGAGGAGGGTCCAATGCTCCGAGAAGATGTCAACTCATATTGCGTTTTATAAGCTGAATCAGGGTAAGCAAGTCATCAGGCTATAATAATTGAAAAGGAGGTTGTTGATTTCTGAGCTAACATGATGATATTAGGTTGTCCGGAAATTAATGCAGGTTTTAAATTCAACCGCAATAAGTCATACACTTCTCATTTCGAAATAGATTGCAAGGTACCATTCGATAGAGCAAAGCAAGCTCTACAAGGTGGCGATCTTGCTTTAGCAACAGCTCTGATCCACCACGAATTTCCAGCCAGAAACTGAAAAGATTCAACTGCCGGAAAAATTGAGAAAAATTGTAACTCAGTTCATAATAATCCTGCAAAAATTCTAACTTGCTCACGTAAACCCAACCCACATAAGACATCCATATACGCCGTTGCCTTATTTTTTTCTCTGTTAGAAATCAAGAAAACGGAAATTTTCATGCATTTGCCAAAGTGGTGGTGTGCCGCCCCCACATAAGTAGTTGCACACGACAAACCTGTAGAAGTACAAACGTAGATTTTCAGCTCTCTACAAGCTTTAGTTCTCGAGAAATATCGAATATAGCCTTCATTAGTTAGGTGGTCCAAGCTAAAATTCAGATTTCTCGAAAACTAAAGCTTGTAAAAAGCTGAAAATTTACGTTTTTACTTCTACAGGTTTGTAGTATACAGTTACTTATGTGGGGGCGGCACAGCACCACTTTATCAAATGCATGAAAATTTCCGTTTTCTTGATTTCTAACGGGGAAAAAATACGGCAACGGCGTATATGGATGTCTTATGTGGATTGGGTTTACGTGAGCAAGTTAGAATTTTTGCAGGATTATTATGAACTGAGTTACGATTTTTCTCAATTTTTCAGGCAGTTGAATCTTTTCAGTTTCTGGCTCGAAGCTCGTGGTGGATCAGGACTGTTGCTAAAGCAAGATCGCCACCTTGCAAAGATTGCTTTGCTCTATCGAATGGTACCTTGCAACCTATTTAGAAATGAGAAGTGTATGAATTACTGCGGTTGAAATTCAAAACCTGCATTGATTTCCGGACAACCTAATAGATATGTGTTAGTAAGAATATAAATGAATAGTGTTGCAAAACAACACAGACTCACAATGGGTATATGGAATTCAGATCATGAAATAGAAGTTCAATCGCACGCCAGTTATTGAAAACAGTATATATGTTAAGAGTATTATGCGATGATGGAATATGAGTTATCATGGATAGTAGAGTCAGGAATAAGATAAAATTCCAAAAGTCATCAATCCGTGCTAGTTGGTAATCGCAGCAGAGATTTATTCATACATTGCCAACATTAAAGCCATACAGATGTCGTACTAAGGTTATCTGTAAACATCTCGTTCAGTTTCATTGTCTTCAATTTGTTTTTGAAAGAATTACTGTTTTTACACGCAAAAACTTCACTAGGTAATTTTCGGATCAACTTTGCTGTTCGATCAAAAAAAAATCGTAATTAGGTAAAGTTGATTTTTTCCGCCTACCGCTCCGTTGATGATAAATAGAAAAGCAACTATCCTTCCATAAGTGGGTTTGAAGACCCGGTACTTGGAAGGTCTCAATATAGTCTCTCTCCTGAAAACCCTGAAAGCAAGTACAAGGTCATGAATGACCCTGCGATACGAGAGACTTTTAAGGCCAAGTATTTTTAGACGCTCTTCATAGCCAGGAAGTGACTGAGGATAAGTAAGACTAAGAAAGCAGCGGTAAAAAAAGTAGTCGTGTAAAAACTTTCTGAACGTTCTCCAGAAACTGTTTGTGCTTCACCAGAAAGGGGCATCACACCTGATTTGCATACTTTAAAATGGGAATGTCAAAAGATTTATAAAGTTTCAAGAGTACTTTAGGGTCATCAACTTTCGTATTGCGATATATGAGGTAACAGAGAGGTTGCGCGAGAGGCAACAGCTGAGACTTGTAAATCTGGTTCCAAAGAGGGATTGAATATGACTCCTAACTCTTTAACGTATGTTTTTTTGATCAAGGTCTCACCGGCACGTTCGTAAAGGAAATCATAATCTGTGTAACACCGATGTGGAACACAGAACTTTTGCTCACATTTACAGAGATGTCCCAAGTTTTACACCATTCAACCATGAGATTGATGGCACGTTGTAGTGCATCTCGGACTATTCTGCGGTTTTGATTATTATAGATACCGAAAATTTTGATGTCATCTGCATACATCAGTATGTGCACATCTGGGTGGGTTTTAAGTATTTTCGCTAAATCAGCGGTGTAGATGTTGAACAAGAGAGGTGAGAGTGCGCCTTTCTGGGGAAGCCCACTTATGCACGGGGAATTCAGAATGTTTTAGACCAACGCGAACAGTCATTATTCTATATTAAAGATAAGATTTAAACCAATTCAATAGATCTCCTCTGATGCCATAATGATCAAGTTTAAACAGCAATTTTTCATGGCTTATCCTGTCGAAAGCTTTTGATAAATCAAAGTATATCACATCCTTCTTTATCATCGAGAACAACATTCATCCAGTCATGGGTACAGTCAAGTAATTGAGTAATCGTAGATGCCCCACTACTGAATCCATGCTGTTCAGGCGGTATGAGTTTGAATTTTTCAAACCAGTCAAGGAGTTTGTCGCGTATTATTTTTTCGAGTACCTTACATGATACAGAATTTATGCTTATAGGTCTGAATTCGGTCACAGAATGTGGGTTGGTCACTTTGAAGACGAGAATGACAATGGCTTCTTTCCAGATTTCTGGCACTTGTTCACAGATAAAACAGATGTTGAAAATGTGAGAGAGCGGAATTGAAAGTTCTCTCGCACATTTTTTGAACAGAATCTGTGGGATTCCATCAAAAGGCTCGAATGTTGAGGGTTTTAATTTTCTTAGGATGCGTTCGACTGTAGAAGGCATGATTGCAGGAGCTGTACATGTATGACATAGAGGAGGTCCAAAAGATTTGGGAGTAGAAAAGTTTGTAGAAAATGTACTAGCAAAAAACTGAGATAATGCTTGGGCCTTGTCTTGATCAGTTAAGCATGTTGCACCCGACGAATCTTTCAAGGCTCCATATCTTTTAGTGAACATTTTATTATGGATGTAGGAAAAGAGATTCTTGGAGTACTTAGAGGAAGCTAAACGTTTTTCGTAATTTGAGAGGAACTTTTTGAGATGGTATGTTATATTAGAACAAACTTTCTTGTACAATGAACTATTATATCAAGAAGTCCTGAAAAGTCTTTCCTTTTGGAGAATGAGTGACTGTATATGACTAGGGTATTTTAGATATCCAATTCTACGAGTTTGAAATGGAGTGTATTCTGCCATAAGTTTGTACATAATGCTACAGAATCTGTAGGACACATCGGAAGGATTTATATACTGATCAAAGCAATTTTCCCAATCGATGTTATTCAAATCTACTTTCATTGCTTCAAAGTCAATATTAGAGAAGCGAGGATATGGGATAAATATGCTTTTTGGAATATTGAATCTGTAGCAAAACTCAACCATATTGTGGCCAGACGTTCCAAAAGGGGCAGAGACCGACAGCATGTCAATAGAAGAGTTTTGTGCTAAAACTAAATCAAGAACAGCTTCCTCACGTGTTGGCTTGTCGACAAACTGGTGTAAATTCAGATTTTCAAATAAATCGAAGAATTCGTTGGTTAATGATTGGTTGTTACATTTCATGTTTGAGGGTTTTTTAGCGCGATTTAGCGGTGTTATACACTTACATTATAGCCTCCCCGTACCTTTTGAAGACACATTATATCCAGCATCTTGCTTGTGATACCTAAAATAATACCTATTACAAGACAAATCACAAGCTCTTCCTACATCGGTCTGCTATAACGATTGACTGCATTAGTGGCATTAGCCCTCGCTGATTATTAAAGCAGCCCATCGAACTGCACTCCAGCACAATCTTCTTCTCTTGGCATAGTTCCATTGGCCTCTCTTTTGTACTTCCATCAGCACTTTAGGTTCATCTCTGAAAAATCATCGGATTCGTGGGTTTTTCGGCCATATGTTTGGGAACGAATTACTCACATATATGTACGCGTGAGTGCAATTGTACATTCTTGACGGACTTGTTCAATGTAGGCATCCAAAGAACTTCTACAGATCGTTAGCGAATCCTGACTGATCGTGTCTATACTGAAAAAGACCAGAGTGGTAATCAGACATGACTATTGGTCGCAGTTCTCTGAACTCATTCAGTGATTTGCGGGTGGCCGAGGGCAGCTTGTATGCTTGCCTACCCTGATTCAATTCTCATTGCATGGCGTCTCATATCTAGAACCTAGTATGCAATGTGGATGCTACTCGTTGCAGACGAGAGCCATATATAGCTATCACCTCAAATATGTATTCATAGATAAAAACTTGAGTTGCTATGAGCTCTGTGTATCATGCCAACACAGTTTTACTGTTCTGTGGTTTATCTTGGACGATATATGTATCATAATAAAGAACAACAACAAATATCTATAAATCATCAGATCACTTTCTAAAATCATTGTGTATAATTTTACGGAACAAAACAAAACAAAAGCACATCACATTCTATTCTTTCTTCTTCTTCCTTGCCACCTCAGCGCCCTTGGACGCATCCACATCTTCTTCTTTTCCTCCACCACCGCAACATCGCTGTCCGAGCTCGACGAAGAGCTGCTGGACGAAGCTCGTGCTCGCTTTATTGCAGCGCTTTATGGTCGGCGCGCTAGATGCAATCGGAGTGTTGCCGGCTTCGTTTTTGGCAGCCAACTGCCTTTCCAACTCTTTCACTTTATCGGCTAGCTCTCTGTAGGCCTTCAGCTGCTCTTCCGATGCTGCCCTTGCTCTTTGCGGTTGCTGCTCATTCAACAAGTTGATGAGTCTTTCCTTTCTTACCAGCACATTGGGTTCATCTCTGAAAAAGTTGACAAATGGTTCTTATTATTATTTCCCGAACACACACTTTCACATGTGTGTATATGTCCAAATTTGTACAGCCTTAGTAGACTTATTCGACAGTCTGCAGGCATGAGAAAAATTTGTAGAGGTCAATGCTGACCCTTTCTTCTGTGCGTCGGTAGGTGGTCTGCCCGACAGCTCCGCCTCTTCTTCCACTCATCTTCTAGTCCAAAGATATGCACGCAACTGACCCTGCAATTCTTTTCCTTGGAATCATATTACTAGACACACGCGCATATTGTCTATACATTATCATATACAAGGCTGGATAGTTGTCAGGTTCGATAACCTTTACTCTATTGGCTCACAAACACATATGATCACATATTTATGTCTATCATCTTAAAAACAGCTGTGCTGAAATCGCAGTTTGGTTTCCACCATGATTTGGCATATTTTCAGGTCAAACTCCCGAGCTCGTTTCCTCATTGAGAGGTACTTACCTTTGCCCAAGATTATGCATGATGTTGCATATCTTATCTTCGGCATCACTTTTGTGTTGATGCCTGTGATTTTCTCAGCGATGGTCAGCTTACTGGCTAATATTTCTTTTGCCATTTCAATGCAGCCGTTTCGGTTCGTTGCCACAAGTCGTGCACATCCGCAAACGTATTTTGCTCGATTCCAAGATAATTGTAGTGGCCAGTAGCACCAAGGATTGAAATCTGTCCTACTTCCCATGGTGGGCATACTAATAGGTGTTGTTCTTCGCTAGGATTTTCACCTACCCTGTTCATGCGCGTATATGGCTCCTCGACATCAGTGTGTCTGGCCAGATGATTCATTGATTTGATGGCACATTTTGCAGCGTTCATTGTCAGACCTAATTCTGCAGCCATCTTCTCTATTCCTCGCTTTGCTTTGAGTAATTGTTCCCAGTTAGTATACACTTTCAAGTCATCCATATAGAAGATGTGGTTTAGTCGGAGTGCATCGTTTCTCGCCAGTTGTACATTGGCACTAGACTTCGTCTCATACGGGTAGATATTGTTTCGCAGCCAATATGACATTGGCGTTATTACATCACAAAGAGTAGGGGACTGAGCGAATCGCCTTGCACTAGACCATTTCGGATGCTCAGCGGCTTACTACATATCTCCTAATTGGCCTTCTTGCCATAATATCGTACATTCTGACATTTGATCAGTTTCTGTAACAGGTTCACCATTGGAATGTTTAATTGCCATTGTCGCAAGCACCATAGTAGTGCTTTATGCGATATGGAGTCGTAAGCTTTGGTCATATCAACCCACAGCATATGCATCTCTTTCTTCGATCTTTTTGCATGTCTTACTATGGTCTGGTCTAGTATGTGGGCATGTGTGCAGCCCCCCTTTCTTTAGTGCCAGTTGATCTGCTGGCAGCTTCGGCTCCTAGAAGATTACCCGAAATGACAGTGTTTTTCTTCAAGAATCCAAAAGGGTAAAAGCGTCACATTTTAGTCAAAGCCGGAATTTGGCGAGTGTACATTTGAGATCTGAAATAGTGGGTACGGCATAAAAGGGCTTACATAACTTAGACGATGAGACGGAAATAACAGGCAAGATGCACGAATCGGGTCCAAGCCGAGAGCAAGATGGAGAGTGGTATTGCGAGATAGGCAATTATGAAATACACGTCCTCGTTGTCTTTCGAAATAGGAATAAAATTTCGCAATAATCTTTTCACTAAGGCTGCGTTCATACTGATCCCGAAGTCCGGGAACAGTTCCAGCACATTGTTCAAACTAAGCGTTGTGCTGAGACTGTTTCCGGACTTTAGAATCAGTATGAACGCAGCCTAAGTACAGTCACTACAAGATACCGGACTCTTACCTTGTTTCCAACTTAGATCATGAAACTGGTAATTTGTTATGAGCACAGTGCTTTGCGCAGGAATGTCGCAGAGAGCGCGTTAGAAAGAGCAACTTTTTACCCTACTTGAATCAACCCAACTCAAAGAAGCTAAACAATAAAGAAGAACATAGCAGCAATAACAGCACAGGTAAAAGCATTACACGAAAGTTCGCCACTAACAATATTTCTTCTTTTTTTAGAAGCTCTACACTGTTCAGCGGAAACAGTCGCAAAGTTCTAAATTGTTTTGCACACTGCTCGGTGCAAAGCGCTAATCAAATAAAACCTTATAATTGCGGCACCAAACGATGAATCAACAAATCATAAGAGTAATGCGCTTCTGTGACTAGTGATCTTAAACTTTAATGCAACTATGGATAACTCTCTTCTGGTTTTCACAAAATAGAAAGAGTATGTCGACGAGAAATATCGCAAAGTACAGCGAGCTTCGAAGAGGGCGCCGCAAAACTAGTGCTACACGCATTATCGAACCTAAATGACCGGCATAACAGAACGAGCACACTTGCTGCGCTATACGCACTTGTATTACCGTGAATTACTAAAGAGGAATATTGCGTGTAAAAAGCTTTGCTGCAAAATCAGTGTAGGCAAATAATATGCATCTTTCCTCGCAAAAGGTCTGATTCGCAAATTAGAAGAATGTGGAAATAGCTACGAAGAAGTAGCTAGCATCATCTATTTGTTACTTTAGTCTGTTCTGTTAATATGAGTATTTTATCAGCCATAACATAGGTAATACGTGGTGTTTGGTGCCACGGATTATCCACGTGATACCTCTACCAGTTCTCTATCATCAAATCTTCTCTTGTTATTTAACGCAGGCTCTATTTATTTATTTATTTTTAAAATGCACAAGAAGTGCATCTATCATAAAACAGAAGAAAAACTAACAAAGGAAGTGTCAGAAATCGCAGTGGCCGTTTGAGATGGGATGGGTGTTGCGAAACGTCACTCGTAAGGGCATTTCCAAAACCACCCTCGCTAGCTGCAGAACAACTCTAGGAGGGGGGCTACGGATGCTTTTCCGCGCGAGACCCAGCGCGCCTTGCCCGTATACGACTACCACCCTCAGCCAACCGTAGCGTCGTAGTGGCAAGCATGCTGACTGCCTTGAGGATGTTTGGAGATTCGAATCCTCTGTTGGACAACTTTTTTGCAATTAATGTACAAACTCCTAAAATGTGCATTAGTGACCAAAACGTGTTTTACCTCTTTACTGGGAGTTCTCCAAGAATTACGTATACTCCACCAAGCGTACAATCCCGTTGAAGACACCGTTCACCCTAAGTTAGGGATCTTGAGCTTTGGCAGTTTTTGAGAGTAGGACTCCCTATCAAGCCAATGTCCAAGTCGCGGCGCAAAATTTTTCTTACAAGGGAAGGATAATCGGTCGAAGTGGCCATTTGGAATGAGCTGTATATTAGGAAACCGTTCTCCGTAAGGCAAACTCAAAACTATAATACTTTCGCTGGGTGCCGAGCGTTTTTGTGGGGGAGTCACAAGGCCATTTTCCTCCGGTGCAGCCAGCGCACCCAGTGATGAGCGAGGCGCTAGAATAACGCAGCAGTGTGGCAGTGGCGCAGTGGCAACGCAGCGGACTACGAAGCAGATGGTCGAGGGTTGGGGTTCTGTTGTTCCTATTCTGTTTTGCAGTTCTGTAAATTGGGTGACAGCAAACGAGAAATACTATTTCTAGGCAGTATACTTTAGACCGAATCGAATAAATATTAGAGTATTCGAATGCATTCGAATGAATTCTATTCGAAATTCGATTATTCGAAAATTTCAAAATCTCGAATATATTCGATATTCGGTTATTCGAAATTTGTCAATTTCGAATTTATTCGATGATTTGGTTATTCGATAATTTTGATTTTCGAAAATATTCGAACATTCGAATATCTATTTTTAGAAGTTATTCGATTATTCGACAATTTCGTGTAATCGAATAACTACATGGTAGCGTCACAACTACTATATGTGACTATATCTGACTACTATATAGGGGCCTGCAGGATCGCGAGAGTCGGACGTGCGTACGGCCATTGCGCCGCGCACGTCAGAACTGCGTGCGACGGCCCAGGTAAGTGCCAGACTTATCCTGTTGAACAGGTTCATTCGGTTCACCACCTTTGCTGTTGGATAGTGTAGTGATTTGACCTATGAACGGAACGAACGGCTGAAGTGGATAAGTCTGGCACTTGCCTTAGTGACATCGGACGTGCGCGGCGCAATGGCCGTACGCACGTCCGACTCTCGCGATCCTGCAGGCCCCTATATCAGCAACCATCGTTTGTTGTACAAGTTGCCAACTGCATGGAATCCTTCAGTGTGCTAATTCGATTAAAATTTGTTTGAATATTCGACATAATCGGTGCAAAATATTCGTTTATTCGAATTTTTTTTCTCAAATATATTCGATTATTCGGATTTATTTCATTTCGAATATATTCGATATTCGATTATTCGACGATTTTCTTATTTCGAAAATATCCGATATTCGATTATTCGGCATTTTCGTTTTTTGAAAATAGATATTCGAATATTCGACATTTTTTGTTTTTGAAAATATTCGAAATTCGATTATTCGATATTTTCGAGATTCGAATATATTCGGTTACTCGATTATTCGAAAAAATTCTCGAATATTCCAAAGTATACTAGGCAGTCGAAACAAGCTATTTACTGCAAAAAAGTTACTGTTTCTACAATAAGCTATAATCTTCTACAATATGTCAATCTGTGGAGGTTAAGATGTCACAACAATGGATTCAAATGATATACTAACATGTATGGAATACAACCAAAAAAGGCTCAAAGCAGAAGAGCTTCTCGCAGCGCGCGCACTTGCAAATTTGCAATCGATTGCAATCAGCGCTTCATTACCTATCAAGGCAGGACCACGCACGTAAAGGCAAGTGTCAAGTATGCGCATATAGCAATGGTTGTAATCCATACATGTTAGTATATCATTTGAATTCATTGTTGTGACATCTTAACCTCCACAGATTGACATATTGTAGAAGATTATAGCTTATTGTAGAAATAGTGCTTTTTTGCAGTAAATAGCTTGTTTCGACTGCCTAGAAATAGTTCTCGTTTGCGTCACCCAGTAGACTTTTTACAGAACTGCAAAACAAAACAGCAGCAAGAGGACTCGAACCCTCGACCATCTGCTTCGTAGTCCGCTGAGTTGCCACTGCGCCACTGCCACACTGCTTCGTTATTCTAGCGCCTCGCTCATCACTGGGTGCGCTGGCTGCGCCGGAGGAAAATGGCCTTGTAACTCGCCCCACAAAAACGCTCGGCACCTAGCGAAAGTAGTTTTGAGTTTGCCTTACGGAGAACGGTTTCCTAATATACAGCTCATTCCAAGGCCACTTCGACCGATTATCCTTTCCTTTTAGAGGGAGGAGATCGCTTTGAAATAGCGAAGAGACATGAGGTCCCCAAGCAGAGGTGCTATGGGGGGAGCCGGGCCCACCAAAAGTGAAGGTGGTCCCAGCTACCACTGGCCGGCCAAAAGTGAAAGTGGTAGTGCCGAACATTCACCTCCCAAAAATGTCGGTGGTGGGGGGGGGGGGGGGGAAGCATTAAAGTCTATCCT